TCCTGTGTTAGGTGCATATATAATTCTAAGTGTTATGTCCTTTAGGTGGAAAGTCCCTTTTATCATTATATAATACCCCTCTGTGTCTCTCATTGTCTTTTTTATCTTGAAGTTCTGCGTTGTCTGATATAAATACTGAAACAACTGCTTTCTTTTGTTTGTCATTTTCTTGAAATATTGTCATCCATCCCTTTACTCTGAGCCTGTGTTTGTCTGTAGAGCTGAGATGTGCTTCCTGAAGGCAGCGTATTGTTGCTTGTTTTTTAATCCACCCAGCTACTCTTTGTCTTTTGATTGGAGAATTCAACCCATTTACGTTTAGAGTATTTATTGATATATGAAGGCTTAATACTACCACCTTTTCTCTTGTTTTCTGGGTGCTCTGTATTTCCATTTATTCTCTTCCTTAATGTATTTCTGACTGCCATTTCAGTTTGTTGGTTTTGTGATGGTTTTCTCAGTTTTCTATTTATTTATGAATTGTGTCTCTGCTCTGATTTTTTTGTTTTTGGTTACCATGAGGTTTGTATAAAAGCTCTCATAGCTGAGATAGTCTATTTTTTGATAGCCTCTTAGCTCCATTAGCTGAAGCAGGTTCCACCCCTGTCCTCTTCCCCTTCTGAATTATTGTTGTCACAAATTATTCTGTTTTGTGGTGTTAGTTTGTGACTGAGATGAAGTGTTTATAGTTACTTTTAATGCTTTCCTTCCATTTATCATTTTTTTTGGATGAGGAAGATTGGCCCTGAGCTAACATCTGTTGGCAGCCTTCCTCTTTTTCCCTGAGGGAGATTGTCACTGAGCTAACATCTATTCCAATCTTCCTCTATTTTGTATGTGGGACACTATCACAGCATGGCTTTGATGAATCGTGTGTAGATCTGTGCCCAGGATCCAAACCTGCAAAACCTAGGCTGCCAAAGCAGGGTGTGCAAAGTTAACCACTATGCCACCAGGCTCGCCCCTCCTTCCATTTATCTTTTAAGTTATAATTACTTATTTGCTACCCTGTTCTGAAACAGAACTGCAGTTTTCTGATTTTGTCTGTTTATCTCCTTGCTGAAAGCTTTGTAGACCTTTCCCTTTTTGTTTCTGGTATGAGGGCATCCTTGATCATTTCTTGTAGGGGAGGTCTACTGGCAGTTAACTCCTTCAACTTTTGTTTATCTGGGAAAGCTTTTAGTTCACCATCATATGTGAAGGGTAGTTTTGCTAGATAGAGTATTCTTGGCTGAAAGCATTTGTCTTTCAGTATTTTGCATATATCATTCCAATCTCTCCTATCCTGTAAGCTTTCTGCCGAGAAATCCGCTGAAAGCCTGATATAGGTTCCTTTGTAGGTTATTTTCTTCTGCCTTGCTGCTTGTAATATTTTTTCTTTGTCATTGACTTTTGACAGTTTTAATATTATATGCCTTGGAGAAGGTCTTTCTGCATTGACGTAATTAGGAGCTCTGTTGGCTTAATGTAGTTGTAAGTCCAGATCCTTTCCCAGGTTTGGGATATTCTCAGCTATCATTTCTTTGAACAAGCTCTCTGCTCCTTTCTCCCTCATTTCTCCTTCTGGAATACCAATAATCCATATGTTATTTTCCTAATTGAGTTGGATATTTCTTGAAGAATTCCTTCATTTTTTTTAAAACCATAATTTTCTCTCCTCCTTCTCTGCATGAAGCATTTCTATCCTCTGAATCACTAATCCTTTCCCCCATAATGTAACCTCTGTTTTATAAGGATTCTAGATTATTTTTTATTTCATTAATTGTGTTCTTCATATCCAGAATTCCTGCTTGGTGTTTTTTTAATACTTTCAATCTCTTTGGTGAAGTATTCCTTCTTCAGAATAATTTCATTCCTGAGCTCATTGAACTGTCTGAGTTTTCTTTTAGCTCATTGAGTTTGTTTATGACAGCTGTTTTGAATTATCTCTCATTTAGATTGTAAATTTCTGTGACTTCAGGATTGGTTTCTGAAGACTTGTCATTTTCCTTCTGCTCTGAATTGTTGCTGTAGTTTCTCATGTTATTTGATGAACTAATCAATTTCCTGGCACATGTGTAGTAGTATCAGGTTGCAGATTCCACCTGCTACTGCTGGAGGGAAGCAGGAGCTGTGTCTCTGAATGCACCCTATATGCTGGAAATTGTGCAGGTATGGTGGGTGCTTCTGCCAGCTGGGAGAGCATTTCTGCATATTTGCATATCTGCCACTTCCTCTTCTTACAGTCATGCCGTCTGCTATGCTTGGTGTGCAGGGCTTCATGGATTCCAAGCCATGGCCATTTGTTGGACCACAGTGGCACAGTGGGCACTCCCGCTGGCCAGGAAAGCATTCACAGTTGGGCTCAGGGCTGCCGCCACCTCTTTACAGTTGTATTGAGGCATGTTCCCACTTGTGGGCTTTCAGGGGCCCTATGGGCACCCCTGCTGGCTGGGAAAGTATTCACATGTGCACAGTTCTGCCGCTGCCTCTTCTGATGGTTGTGCCAGCTGCTGTGCTTGGTGGACAGAGCTTCATCATGGGATCCGAGCTGGGGCCACTTGTTGAGACTGCAGCAGCATGGTGGGCACTCCCACTGGCTGGGAAAGTGTTTGCAGATGTGCACAGGACTGCCAGGGAAGGGTAAGGGAGTGGTCACCTATCTCCACCACTTCCTGGGGGCCCCGTTTATCCACCTTCAGATGTAAAACTGTGTGGGTCTCTCAGGCATCCTATTGTACTGTGTGGTGTCCTCCATTGGTCAATGAATGTCCAGTTAACTGAGCTCGAAGTGAGAGAGATAAAGGGAACAGCTCACTCCGCCATGTTGGTGATGTCACTCTCCAGAATGTTTTTTGGAATTATGGCAACTTTTATACGTAAGATGTTGAAATTATGTCTCTGGTGTTAAATAGCAAAAATATTGTGTTAACTCTCTAAAAGGAAAGTCAATAAGTCACTGTAACACGGGTTTCCTTGTTTTAAGTATAATTGAAAAGATACATATTACTCTAGCAAATCCTTTCTGGCAAATGCTAGAGTTGAAACTGTCAAATCTGAAGATGAACCTTTTGATCCAGCAGTAAAGTTATCAGAAGGGCATACACTGCCTTTGATGGCAAGAAAGCACTATGGGTAACATGGGCGCCTGCCCTAGACTCACACTTGGAGAACTCCACAACAATTCTCCTCCAGCCACACCCCTGCCACAGGATGAGGAGCATACAGGGCCAGCAAATGTCCACCTGGAGTTCACCCTCTTGCCTTCAATAGTGCACTGCAGGAATCTGAAACTCCAGGATTCTCTGCCCAGATGGCCCCAAATTCACTTGTATACAGAGAGTGGCCAAGGCTGTCGATGGGGAGAGCAAGTGGATGATCTTGAACATGTGGGCTGGTGTGCCCACATCCACATAAGGCTCTGCTCAGTTTCAGGCAGAGCTGGGATGAGAAGAGTAGGGGGCAGGCCATAGTCAGTCACTGGGGGTGCAGCTCTCATTTCTCTGCCATTTTCCTATGTGAAACTTGAAGGAATTCAAAAATCCTAAATTTGTACCTAACCTTCTAGGACATTATGAAGGTATATTTCAAGGTACAGCATAGAACATCTTTTATTTAACAGACATTCATCTATTTTATAACTTTTAAATGTTTAGACATATAGTATGTGAGTCTCTGGTTGTATTCTTACTCTGGGTCCCAGAAAGGAAGGAATAAGGAGATCATTTGAATCTTCATTTCTCCTTGTGGGTGAGTGTATATCCTTTGATCTTTGTCAGTCTAGTACTGGATTAGGTCTTCCAGGATAACTTTAGGGTGGTACCCTTGGCTGTAATCTGGTCCAAGCTATGTCCTGGCTCTAGAATGAGGTGATTTGAATGATGCCCCTTGGTTTTGGTGTGCCATGATGCACTCTAAACTTATGTGCGTACTGAGCTACCATGGAAGCAGGTGGAAAGATTTAGTGACCAGGGTCTTTGGGAGCCAAAAGAGACTTGGAAAGAAGAGAAATTGGATCAAACTGTGGCCAAAATGATTTCTTAGGATTATATGTGAATTTCAGTTTTCCACTAACCATTGATTATTGGATGTTGGGCCTTCAGGTCCTAAGATCTGGAATAAATCTTTCTGTACCTACTTAAATATTTCTAGGCAAAAGAAAAAAAAAGAGAGAATAATTAGGATAAGAAATGCTTTATTATTGTTGATTCCTTTACACCTCTGTAAATGCTGTTTTATAAAAGAAAAGAAATAATGAAACTAGTATCATCAGTCTACTCAGGTATGCTGTTAGTACCACAGCTGGTATGCTGGTATATAGTACCACAAACGTGGCATTTTTAGTTTTTCACTTAATTTATTGTTTTCCAGATAATCAAACTTGGACCCTTAAACATAAAAGTTGATTGTTCGTTTTAATCATTTTTTGACAGTTGTATTCTATAATACATATACACAAACGTAGGCATATGAATGTAGACTTTTCCTGTGTTTATCAAATAAATATTTTAAAAATTATTTAATAGTGCTAATATTGTTAAACTTTAAATACTTGAGTTTCAGTACTTCTCTATTCTGTAAGAAAAGACTTTAGAATGTAGATTTTTTGGTTATCAAATATTTTTCACATCTATAATTTAATTATATAGCTGTTAATATAAGGCTCCAAAGAGGGAATTATCAAAACAGTGAATTTAAGAAGAAAGAAATTGGTTTAATTTCTTAGAATGTAATGGTTTCAAAATGCTAGAATAACAGACATGAGGAAATAACACTCATTTTATGAAGTTCATTTTTCAAATTATAGAGGTATTTACAGGTTTTAGAACATAGATAATATCAGTAAATAAAATGAAAAAAATTAAGATTTTCAAAATACTGATGAATTTTGAAAATGTATGGATATTTTAGTGAAATTCGAGCTCACTAGAGCAAAAGCTGAGTCTGCTTTCACTTAGTGAGTCCAGTATTACTTCTTATTTAACTTATTCATCAATAAGAGAAAATGAATCACTCCCTAGGTTTGTTCTACAGACAGTGCCAGTTAATTTCCAAGGAGGATGTTACTCATGATACGAGGCTTTTCTGCTTCATGCTGCCACCAAGCACTCATCTGCAGGTGCCAATTGGGCAACACGTTTACCTCAAGCTAACTATTACAGGTAAGGTAAATAGAGGCTTCAGGGAAACATTTTGATTGTTTATAAGCAGTTTACAGTGAGTACTAATCTCTTTAGGAAGCAACCATTGAGGTTATTAATAAATGTTTCTGGGCAGCTAGATTTAGTGATAGCCAGATTCTAGGTTTGTGGATGCAGCGTGCCTGCATGTTGGAGCTATAGCCGTGCCATATTATTGTATGGAACAGAGAAATTGCCACAAGTTGGAGAGATGGTTCCACAAGCATTTTAGTTTATTACTAACAAAGCCTTATAGGAAAGATGTGAAGGAGTGTACAAACAGTCCTTCGTAAGGACAACTACTAGAAACACATACTAGCATTTCTTAGGACCCAATTATGATTGTCTAATTTATGAAGTTGAATTTATAAAATTCAAAATGGGTGGATGATTGTAAATGATTTCTTTATATGTGCCACCAATATAAGAAGCTCTATAAAGATATTCCTTACTCTGTGAATTCTTTTTTCCTCATTTTCATCCTAAAAGGACCTCTTTTACCTGTTTTAAATACCCTTATTTATGTCCAGCATTTTCTTGGCCTTTTGAAGCTGCAAAAGGTAACATTCTCACGTCAGTCATAGTATTCCCAGCAATCAGTGTAACAGACTACCAGCCAGGATTTGATGGATATAGTATATTGTGTTGGCACTATTAAAGTTTTTCTCTTCATCATCACTCATGCCAGGTTATCATTCAATAGCTGATATCTTCCCCAGTGCAGTTATTGTCAATATACTATAATTTAGAGATAGATTAATTTTGTGTATGTCAAGGAGCCATGTATAAAATTTTGGTCTTTCAAATGTGTGGTGGCTCTTCTTTCTTTAGAATATGGCTACCTGAACTATAATATGAATTTTTATTAATTATTAATTAATGTTTTGTTTTATATTTAATAGTATTATGTTATATAGTATATAATTAATATATGAATATATTTAAATACTTATTTATTATTAATATATTTGTTAATATTTACTTAATTAATTAATATTATATTCTTAGAAGTAATTGGATCAACATTCTTTTCCTTCAATTACCAAAGTAATATATAATATATGAAAACAATTCAAAATATATAAAGTAAAAAGTGAAATTCTTCCCTTTCTCACACCCAAATGATCCCATTGGCTATCAGTAACCATTGTTAAAAATCTGGTGTATAATTAAAGTTATTATGTAAGTACCTTCTTACATCTCTATGCAAACTTTTGATGCCATTTTTGTTGTAGTCCATTACAAAGTTTATATGTTGATGAAATAGATGGTTGTGTGAGTTTATTGACATAAATCCCTATCACCTTATGCCATACTTAATAAAAAAAGATTGTATTATGGGCAAAGTATTGATTGGTTAAAATTGTTTCAGCACACATAGGATTTGGGTGTATATACTTGTACTATATGCATATAGAACATATAGTTAGAATTATATACATGTTAGATGTACAGTTTTAAATATATCCTGATAGCATCATAAAATTTGTATGTTTCATCTGCATTCAGAGCTTTTTAGATTTTTAGAATTGAATTTCTTTATCGTGACTTTTTCTAGATACTGAAATTGTGAAGCCATATACACCTGTATCTGATTCCTTACTCTCAGAGTTCAAGGAACCAGCTCTTCCCAACAATAAATACATCTACTTTTTGATCAAAATCTATCCTGCTGGACTCTTCACACCAGAACTTGATCATCTTCAGATTGGTTAGTATTTTTTTTAACGTCATTATGTTCTAGATGGGATCACCTGTTAGTCTGTGCTCTGGTTATCTCCTTGTCGGAATCTATCAAATATCTTAAATTAAACATGTAAGCACCCAAAGTCATATTCTCTTTGTCCCACCAAACCTATCCTTACTCCCATATTCCTCATCTTTATTATTTGCCCCACCACTGTTCATTCTTGACCCAGTCCGGAGGCATGTCATCCCTGAGTCTTCCCATTTTCTCCCTCCTAATCCAGTCGGCACTAAGTTCTATTGAGTCCACCTCCTAGGGAAGGTTTAATTTTTCTTTTCTATCCCTTTACCACTGTCTTAGGTCAAGCCTTCATCATTTCTCTCTTGGCCTCTAACTGGTATCTTCCTCCTTCTTATCTGCATTTTCTAGTTCTCTTTCCAAACTGCCCTGAGGGTGGATTTAATTGTGTTGCTCTACAGCTTTGAAAGCTCTGATGGGTCTCCGTTACCCAACTGATTAAGTCCTCTGCATGCCTACAAAGACTTTCACAATCGTTCCAGCATCATCTCTTGCTGTACAAAATACTTGTGCTACTCAAAGGTCCACAAGTTTTCATCCTCATTCATAGTTACATGCAGTTGCCTCCCATAGGATGCCCATCAACTCTTTCTCTACCTGTCAAGTACCTTTTTTTAAAGACCCAAACAAAACGTCACTTTCATTATGAAGCTCCCTCCTCCTCTGAACCCCCAAAAACTAACACTTTGCTCATAGCTCTAGGATAAGAATAAGTAATATTCCTTCTTTATAAGTCTTGAATTTGTTCTTGGATTTCCTGCACCTAGCATGGCAGCTGGCACATAATAGGCTCTCAGTAAATGTACTTTGAAAGAATTAATAAAAGGACTATAATGAGATCCATTAAGATTTAGAGACCCTTTTCCTGTTTCTACTCCTTTTTGTGTGTCTTCAATTTTCCACTGCCTTTTGCCTAACAGTAAAAGTGCTCTTCTCCTTTCTAAGTCAGTATTAGCAGTGACATCAAGGTAACATCGAAGAAGATCGCTAAAATTTGGAAATAAAGAAAATTTTTTGCTTTCTGAAAGGTTGGCTTAGCAATCTATACAGAATGGATATGGTTAGTCATCTTTGGTTACATAAACCAAAATATTGAATATAAATATGAACCTTAAGAATTTTGAAATACCCGCAAATCTAGTGAAGGTGACTGTCATCTTTGATGGACTGACACGTGATTGTAGTATAGTGAGTGGAAATGTAACCAATACTGTTATAACCTGGTTATAGAGATTGTGTGGACGGAGCAGGGTGGAGAGTCGGCCTAGAGCATGGAAAAGGAAAACCTAAAGAAGATAGTGTTTTTTCAACTTCATCCAGGGGAGCTAGCCATGGCACAAATACTTGTGTAACTTAGGGGGTTGCCTGGCATGGTAGTGATAACTCATGAAGCCTCATCATGGCCCAAATGATCTACTCTAGAACAGTATCGGCTTCTTTGTTTCAATTCCTTGTTCACCACGTAACTTTTATATGATTTTTTTGGCCTTCCAAATGTTCTCTAACTGAGAATGAGATGCCCTGCATGGGGCGTGTAATGTTCAGGTCACTGGATGCAGATGGCCCAGCTGTAAATCAGTTGCTGTTCTGGCATGCGTTATTTTCTTCTTGTGTGAATTTGATTAGCATCAGGTACCTTGCCTGAGTCTAGTCACTTTTATGACATTGGAAGGACTGGGCTGTGGACAAAAGTTACCAAATTAATATCATTCTTTGAAGCTTCTTTAGTAAACAACCAGCTGACTTTTTCCTGAGGATATTCTGATCTTATGGTCCCTTTCAAACTCTAACAAGAAGCTTCTGTTGCTTTCTAATACTTAATTCATCAATTACTGCAAGATTCTTACTATCCTGCTATGGACAAGAAAGGAAAAATTCAGAGCATGCAAGCATTTAAAAATAAACCAGAGTATTTGAAGTTGTTTTTAAAATATGGACAGCTTTATTTTTATTTTTTGAATTACACTGAAAATTTTTGAAATGTCCTAAAGGCCATTCTCTTGTATATGAGTGGTACATAGTGGTTCCGTCAACTGCATTGCAGAAAATGACTTTCTCAACTGTTTTGATTCTAGATTGGGAAGTAGCATGCTCCAAGTACAGTTTCTGATCTTGCTTTGTTTTTATAGGAATTAAATTCAGAATAGCTCTTGTTCTAATTGATAGATGTTCTAAAAGATTTGATGGAGGCAAAGGTAGCACATTTACTAACCTGAGATTTTAGAATACATTTCCATTTCACTTTTGTTCTACTAGTTGTATTACTATGGTTAAGAATCAATATGTAAGTAGTGACTATATGTTCTCCACCCTGAACCTTACGAGACACATATAAATGGACTTTACTTTTGAGGTGCTTATAATTTAGTTTAGCAATCAATACATTATTGATAATTTATGTTTAAATACTTGGCAGTAGTTTATAAATTAGAGACTCCAGATGGTTTGGGAAAATAATGTTGGGAAATGAGTCTAATAAAACTGCATTATTAATTTGATTGTAATGATATGATCCAGACATACTTGGGGGCCTAAGGAGTATTCCTAAAACCCCCTTCATACCTTAAAGACTGAGATGTAGTCTGAAAGTTATGCTTTCATCCTGTTACTCACCAGTGTTCTAAATTTAGCTAGGTTAACCTTCTCAGTTTTCTTGATTTTTTTTTCTGATTTAGTTTATATTTCATTGTTTAGGAGATTTTGTTTTCGTAAGCAATCCTGAGGGCAATTTTAAAACATCCCAGTTCCAAGAATTAGAAGATCTCTTTTTATTGGCTGCTGGAACAGGCTTCACACCGATGGTTAAACTACTGAATTACGCTTTGACTAATATACCCAGTCTCAGGTAAGTAATTTTATCTTTAATTACTACTCTTTGTGAAGTGGTTAGATTAGTATAAGGTATTCTAAATTAATTAAATACTGAGTAGATCTTAATAGACGTGTTTTCATCCCCTCATTCATCATTTCTTATTCTGCCTCCTCCAGTCCTAGCTGTTTTATTAACTTGATTCTTTTGTTTTTGATGCTTTTGGTTACCTAATTGGCACTAAAAAACATTCATGCTGGTGCACTTTTTGACTTTTCCTTTCATGCATATTTTAAACGTAATTGAAATTGTTCTTTTTAAGTTGTTGTTTTTTCTTTTAAGGAAAGTGAAGCTGATGTTCTTCAATAAAACAGAGGATGATATAATTTGGAGAAGCCACTTGGAGGAATTAACTTTTAAAGATAAAAGGTATTGAATTGTATTAGCCCTATGTTTATATTCTTACATGTGTAGTTAATCTAGACCTTATCTCCTTTGATAGGAGTTTTTAATTGACCAGGAAGCTCCTTCAAAGAAAAATATGAACTAATCAATAATTCTCTAATTGTAAATAATATTAATAACCCTCCCCCAAAGAAATGCAGTTTGACAAGATCAATGTGACATCATATGTGTATCCATAAAATATATACTGGGCTTTATGTTTATGTTATTTATACTAAGTTGAGTTTCATGGAAAATGATCCACTGTGGCTTGGTAATTCAAGATTTCTTGTTATAATGGAGACAGATCAAATAAATTTGGTGAGATGGATTAAGCAAAATTCAACATTTCCTTTACTACAGGATTTCTTAGAGCCTTTAATATGCTAATGTCCATTGCGACTTTTCAGGAGGGGGTTCCTTATGCATTGTTTGCCAAATTCTCTTCATTTTTGTTTGCTTACATTAACACTTATTGACAGCAGCATCAGCAGTGATTCCAGAACACACACTGGGAAATGCTGGTGTAAAAGTTCAAGTCAGGCTGAACTCAGTGGTGGAATGAGGCAGCAAGGAGAGCAAAATGGAAATTTGTCTCATTGAAAAAAGAGCCCCTGCACAGTCAACTGAAATAAGAAGATATTTTAAACAGGCGAATGCCCCATCTCCCCTAGAGACATCTGAAAGCAGTAGGAAAATCTAACTGAATTTTTTAGAATAGTGAATTAGACAAGCTGTCATACTTTCTAAAGCATTTATATAATCATCAAAAACAGTTTCTAAGAAATTCAGAACTTCATAAGTCACACAAAATATCTGAAGTAAATATTTATGTTTATGATAGTATGGTATGGATAAAGTTCTACGCCTTTTAAAAGTTAAAGACCTCAGAAACTCAGTTGTCCCAAGGACTCGGAGTTCTTCTGAATATTTTCTGAATACCCTTAATACGGTAGTGGTGTGGTCTCTTCTAGTTTTTTTCTCCCTTTTGTCTCCCATCCTCCTCCTCTTTCTGTTTTTGTAAATGACTTTCGCAAATTAAGGATGAGCTGAACTTATTTATCCTTGAAGTATTTAGTCTTCTTACATACTTGAAACATAAACCTAAGAATACTTTATTTAGCTAGTTGTATGGCAGTTTAGAGCATGATTTAAAGAAATACAAATTCCTAAGTTTTCAAGCGTGTTTTTCACTATTTTCAAAGTGGAGAATTGGAAACAGCATTTATCAAAAAGCTTAAAGACCTAAATTCTGGTTTTCATCCTACTCTCCACTAGCTTGAAACTTTATTCAAAAATTACTTAGCTTTGTGGGCCTGTCTCTTTATCTTCAAAATAAAATAATAACGTCTTTCCTCCTCACTCGTGAGGCTGTTGTGAGGATTGGAGACAGTGTAACTGCTTTGGGAACTGTGAAGCCCTACCTCAGATACTTGAATTGTGGTTCTAGAGGACTTCTGTGTACATGCATTTCATTTATGTATTGACTGTGTGAGCCCCTGGTTTCCTAAACAAACATTTAAAAGAATTTAAACAGCATAGCTAGGCTTTTTTAGCTAGGTTTTTTAAAAAAGTATTTCTGGCAGTTTTTTGTTTTTTCTTTTTTGTTTTGAGGAAGATTATCCCTGAGCTAACTGCTGCCAATCCTCCTCTTTTTGCTGAGGAAGACCAGCCCTGAGCTAACATCCATGCCCGTCTTCCTCCACTTTATATGTGGGACACCTACCACAGCATGGCTTGCCAAGCAGTGTCATGTCTGCACCCGGGATCCGAACTGGTGAACCCCGGGCTACTGCGTGCACACTTAACCGCTGTGCCACCGGGCTGGCCCCTCTGCCAGTTTTTTGCCCAATGTATTCTTTAAGATAGTTCCCTTGTACAAGAAAAATCCATTTACTATTATTTTAATGAACAGACATTGTACTTTTAGGCTATTAATAGGAGTTAAACTTGATTTAAAAACTAATTGGTAAAAAGGAATGTGTTGACTGCCTCTGAACATAAAGTGTTTGTTAACAAAGTCAATTGTGTGTTTTGTTTTGTTTTGTTTTGTTCTGTTTTGGTCTACGTAATTTGGGTTGGTGGAATTGCGTAGGCTGGAGGATTGAGGAGGAGGAAGGGCCCCTTTTTTTTCCCTTCTGGATGACAGGCTCTAACAGCACTCACGAGGTGAGTGGTACACTCCCGCTGGCTGAGAGAAGTGAGAGCGTTCTGACCTCTGGCCTGTGGGTAGCCGCCCTCTTCCGCTTCTTCTCTTTTTCTTCTTGTTCTCACCTTCTTGCCCCTGTGCTCCTTCTTTCTCGACGCCCGACCCCTGTCTCCTTCCTCTTTCCGCAGACGGGCCTCCTTCCTCTTTCCGCAGACGGGCCTCCTTCCTCTTTCCACAGACAGGCTCTCCTTTTTGAGGCTCTGTTGGCCCTGACTTCAAGCATTGTATAATTTATGCTCCCTCGAGACTCCTGGTCAGGCCCTCACTTGAAAACAAAAACGCCATGCTTATGTAGACGACTTTGGAATATTTATGAGAAGTTTACCCTATTCTGAGGCTTTTTGCAGATATAGGAGAAACCCAGCCTCAGAGGCTGGTTGATGGGTTTTGTGGTACTGTTGGTTGTTGAGTCCCATACGTAAAAGGAAAGTAAAAGTTCAGATTTAATATAAGGTAATTTTAGTCAGTCACATCTGTATTTTAGTTAGCACTTAAGGGCACTTTCTTATATATTAAATCACGCTTTCCTACATCTTGACTCTCCTATATCACTTTCAGTTTTAGTAATAAACTTTCTGATGACAAAATGTGACAGCTGAGCACATCTCCCTGGCCAAATTATTATTGTGAGTATATAAAAAAAATTCTCTTAAATTTTGTAGTTAAAACAAATGAAATACCCTACTCTCTGTAGAGTTAGCTCTCAGCTTTCCACTCAATCCTTCGTGGAACATGGAGGGATAGAAAGGCCCGGTACTGAGGCTGGTATGTGATCTAATGTTTTCATTTTCAGCAAGCATGCTATGCTTGTCCTCAGAATTTATCTAGATAATATCATTAGCAAATGAAATTCTTAGACATGTCATTGTATAACAGAACCTTGTTAACCTTGTGACCTTGGGCAAGTTACTTGATCTGACTGAGTCTCAGTTTTTCTACCTGTAGAACAGGGACATCAATACGCATGTCATAGAATTGTTTGGGTACAAGGGTCAATGAGATAGTATATGTAGATGCCTAGCCCCAAATTAGCATATCTGTAACACTCATTCATTCGTGAAATACACGTGAGTTTCTACCGTGTGCCTGTATACAGGGGTACAACAGTGAACAGGGTGTTGTGTTGGCTTATTTTCTCAGGCAATCCAGGGAATGTATCTCTTACCCACGTTGCTAAACTTAATAGAATTGCAAAAAATAGGTATACCATGAGTACTTTTTTTGAGATATTTCTATTTCAATTTAGTTTTCATGTCACTAAGTATGAAATTTGAACAGAAAAAAGTTAGCTTACTTTAATTTTATCCAAATATGTTATAACTTGACTGTTAACGCCAATAGTTAGGACTCAATTCACAACATTCCAAATCTAGCAAAATCTCTCACATTTATTTTTCTTAAGAAAAATGAGAGAAAACACAAGGCAAATATGTACAGTAGCAGATGTAGCTAATTACTATGTAAACTGGAATCCAAATTAAATTTCACTTCTCTCTCTCTTAATTACTGAGCAGTGTTATGAAGCTTAGTTGACTCAGTCTTCACATGGGTCCATCTCCTTCCGTCAGTAGAATGCCCTGGCTCTGTGAATTCTCTGCCTTTGCAGAACTAGTTTTGAGGAGGCTGACTTCAGGACAACATTTTATAATATGTAAATATAACAAGTATTTTCCTTCCCTTTCAAAGCAGTTATTTTTGGAGAAAATAACCTTATTTTAGTAAAGCTAGTAGCACATCTCTTTGTATAAATAGTGGAACTTGTTGATTTTCTGATTTTTCCCCCGTTTATAAAATTAATACATATTTACATAGAAAAACTATAAGGGAAGAAACCCTCCAATAATCCCACCATGCTATCTTTCCATTCTCTCTCTCTCTCTCACACACACACATATTTATATGCACGTTTTTGTTTTGTATTTTTTAGATAATGTAGGTAGTCATACTGACTATACTTTTTATAACTGCATTTTCTGCGTAGTGTATTGTATGTATTCTACATATAGAATACTTTAAACCAGTGGTTCTCAACCTGGAGTGATTTTGTCCCTACACCCCGTCCTCCCACCCCACTGCAGGGGATATTTACATCTGGAGACATTTTTTATCATCATAACTGAGGGCGCCTAGTTGATAGAGGCCAGGAATGCTGCTAACATCCTGAAGTACACAGGACAGCCCCACAAAAAAGAATTATCCAGCCCAAAATGTTAGTGCCAGCTGGGAAAACCTGCACAGTACTGTGATTTTTAATAGCTGTGTTGTATTCAGTCGTGTAAGCATGCCATAATTTACTTAACCAATCCCCTGCTGTTTGACATAGTGATTACAAGTGGTTCTGTACCTCTCTAACTGTGCAGGATAAAAATTCATCAGAAGAATCGCTAAGTCACAGTGTACCAAGGCTTTTGGTGCATTTTGACAAACAGCCTCTAGAAAGGCAAAATATCAGCGCAGAACATTGTTCCAGCACACTTAAAATTGTTAGTGTCGTTATTTTTCTCCTAGAAAGGATGAGGTTAATGGTTGGGGCACAAGGGGAAGAGAAAAAGAAAAGGATTCCAAGCAGCAAGGGAGTGGGCGCAAAGAATGGGGAAGGAATTAGACACCAGTTATGGGCACCAGCAGACGTATGCAGCACTTCAGGCATCTGTGAGCTCACAGTTTGCAGAACGTGCTTAACGCTGAGAAGAGATAAAGAATGAGTACGACTACCCCCTGGGGAGAAGTTCTGAAGTAGAGCAGGGACCTGAAGTCTGTGCCTTGAGAGGAACGAATCACGCGCTGTTGAAGTCTAGGGAGAGGAAAGAGGATTCTATTTGTGTAAGGGTGGGGATATCAGAACTTCATGGAAGAAGGGGCTTTTGAGCTGGGCTTTGGGAAACAGCATTTCTGTGAACAGGAAAAGAAATTTGGGTAGTAGGATTTTATGAGTAAAAAGATCTGAGGGCCAGTTTGTTGACTGCTTTAGCAAAAGAGCAGAGTCCAGTTTTGTTTTTGTTGAAATAAATATAGTGCATGAAGGAGAACAATGTGAAATAACTTTGTGAAAATAAAACCATTAAATCTTATATCCATATTAGAAGGAATCTTAGTGGTCATCACTTCTCATCCTCTTTTTTACAGTTGGAGAAATAGGGTAGGCTAAAATCAGGTGATGAAACACCTTGAGTGTAATGCATATATTAAATAAATATGTCCTAGATGGAGATGGGAAGTCCCAGCAATATTTGGCAGCTCATTTCCCTTTGTTACTGATGGGCTCTGTAGATAATGACCATGTTTTTGTACTCTGGTGTCAGTATTGGGACTAGCACTGTATTAGTCCCATTTAAGGTAGCAAAAGCCAGTATTCTAGAAGCATAAGTACATTGAAGAATATGCCCAACCCCGTTCTTTTGCCCCAGCCTGTGATGCACTCAGATATATGGGCCCCTAACCTGGACCCTTATACCACTCCCTGTTCCTCCCAGATGTTCCTCAAACGGCGTGTTTCTTGAAATATGTTCCTTGAAATGTTCATGTGTTTCTCCCCAAAGGGTTCTATGATTAAAGAAGTTTGAGAAACAGTGTGCACCATATTACCTTCTTGAAATTTTACTCTGAACTTAGCATATTCAAGCCTTTGAGAAATTCTAAAGAAATCTGCTTAACTTTTTTAACCCAGTAGTCCTAAATTTACTTGATAGGTTAGCTTTTTCATGGAATGCCACTAACATCTGGAAGAACACGAGCGTTGCATCAGATTTCATTTTGAGAAATGTTCCCGTAATATGTATATTTTATCAAATTTTAACCCCTAGCTGTTTATCTTGTGCGCTATTTTTCCCACGAGCAAACAACAAGTTTTCCTGCTGTTTTCTAGTATTTTCTTTAGCTAGAGAAACCAGGAAAAACTGGGGCCCCAAATGCTCTGAAATACTGTTCTGTGAGCAGTGAGGAACACGGAAGCTTTTTAAGCAGAGTTGCCAGACAGGACTGGGACTTTTAAGGAGAACGAATATAGCAATGATGTCAGATAGCTTAGGGCTAAGGTTTTAGAGCAGTATTTTAGACAAGAGGTATAGGGACCTGACCTGGAGGTGTGGCAGTGAAAATGGGAAGGGAGGGGACAGGGGCAGGAACTACGGAGGAGGTGGGTGTTAGAGGCTCATGGGCTGGAGGAGGAGGGAATAAGTTGGGTGAGTGCAGGCTCTGATTTAGACTGAATGAATACATCTGTATTTCCAGATTTTTAAATCTCAGATCGTTATCAGTCTGCTTTACATAATTTTTTTGGACAAACTTATTTACTTCCACACAGGCATTCATCAGAAGCAGGCCTATTCTCTCTGGCTCTTTCTCCTTCTTGTTTTTATGTTGCTTTGCACTTTATGGATTATCTAAATTTATTTTCAGGTAACCTTTTCAAGAGTTCTAGTTCTTTCTGGCACTTTTGAAATCATAGAGCAGAAAGGAATTTCAGGACGTTTACCAGCATGCGCCATAATGCCTCAAAGCTGTAACTGTTTCAGACAGTAAGTTGGGCTTCATTCAGAAAAATCTAGAAGAGAAGTTTCCACAACAACCATCTCTATCTTGATATGGTATAAGAAATCCTTCATTAAAGTATTCTTGAGTCTTCGCTGGATTGCCCCTCCTCCAGTTTAAGCTCTTTTCTAGTCCTGTGAAGAAGGAGATAAGCAGGATAGCAGCCTTTACAATATCCTTAAAAATTGCATCCATGCCTCCTGCCTGCTTTTTCCACTGAGTGCCCAGAAGGCATACCCCAGGGACCACCTTGTGAATAAATACAATCATGAGAAGTTTATACCGTGTATGTAAGGATCTCAAGTTATGTTTCACCCTTTGCTAGATTCCTGAAGAAAGCATGCCACTGATTAGGCTTTTTTTAAAGCATCTCATTAGGAAAACTATGAATTTTTACAGATGACAGGGATGCCAGTATTGCCTCTTATATCTTAGTGGTTTTATTCCAGTGGTAGACTTGTGGACATAGAGGCAGAGGAGACGTTTATTTTCAATTTAACAAGACAGTTTCTATCTTTTATCCAACTGTCTACATAAAATTGGAAATTTCTTCAAGTAGTGGTTCTGCAGCTGCTTTTAGATCCCCTTTGGTAATCTGATGAAAGGTTATGGACCTTCTTTCCAGAAAAATGCGCTTATGGATTCACGTACATTTTATGTGTGATTTCATAGGTGCCAGCATATAGCTTTGTTCTTCTAAGTGAAATTTTTATTTTTAGCTAGTATGGCTTCTTTGTAAATAAATTCCTTTATTCACTTAACAGGTATTTTTATAACACTTATCTCGAGCCAGGCCTGATACGGTATTGAACAAGAGAGACAAGGACCCCACCCTCACAGTAAACAAATATCACATTCCAGAATTATCTAAAACTATCTTAAGTGCTAGGAAGGAAAAATAAATTAGTGAAAGAAAGTATTTGGGGAGGCAGTTTTGTATAGGGTGGGTTAGTATTGCTGCCAAAACTAAATGGGAACCTTGAAGGTAAGAAATAAAACATTCTACAGGGTTTTTTAATATAAAATCAGAATATTAGAATTGTAAGAGGTTATGTAGTTTTCCCACCTTGTTCCACAAATGGACAATAAGAGCTAGAGAGCGGGGTCTGGGTGAGAGCTGGGCTGGTTCTCTGGCCCCCGACTGGTACTCTGAGTTGGCCCACATGCCTGCGCTGGCTTCTCAGCTCTTGGGAACGTTAACCCAGCTGCACACAGTGACGTGAGGGCAGCTGTGCTAGCTACGTCTTGTTCCTGTTCTGGTGTTTGGCTCCCCGGGCCACCTCACAAGAGAAACACTTTAACTTTTTCTTAAGATTGAGAGTAATGTATAATTAATTCCTGCTACTCTTGAGAAAATCTCAGTTACTCATGGGAAAATGTAGAAATGCATTTGATCTGATGCTACTGAAAATGGTAAAAATTAATTGTGTTTGCTAAAATGGAGCAAAGGGAGCAGGTACAGTATAGAACTCTGAAATGACTGTGATTCTTCACTGGCAGTTCACTTAACAGATTACAAAGCTGCGGGAAGAAATGGTGTGTGGTGACATGAGACTTGGTTGGATGCTCTTCTTTCTCATATTAATTCTGGATCCTTTCTTTTTCTTTCATGTGTTTCACTCCATCGTATTTGAGAGCTTCCTGTGTGTTGGCCACTAGGCATGAGTGATAGCCAAAGCAAACATGGTCCCAAACGTGGTCTCGTGGAGTTTATGGTCTGATGGGGGAAGGCAGAGATTAATAAAATAATCATCTTGGTGCCACACATTACAACCTAAAGTAAGGGCTGTGGTGGGGCCGCAAGGCTTCCCTGTAAAATCATATTAGACTTAAGAACTAAATAGTGAGACACGGGAGAAGCATTACCAAAAAGGAGGAGAATGGGCAGCACTGCGACCTTGAAGACTGAGAGAAGGAGACACGTGGTTAGGAGCCAGGACTTGGTGACAATTTGGATACAGAGGTTGAGGCAGATAAATCACAGCTTTCTGGCTTGTGCAACCAAGTGGGCTGTGGTGCCATTCACAGAAATAACGTCGGGGTGGGTTAGGGAGATGGTAAGCTGAGGTTGAGGCTGTTGAGACCGTATCAGTGAGAAACCAAATAGGCCACTGGTTATAAAGGCCTAGAATTCACTGGAGATGAGTCAGAGATTAAAATGCGCGTGTCACTGGTAATTGGTCTTCACTCTGATTTATACGAGCAGATTATTAATGGAAATGTGGAGTTCCCTGTGATACCTTGGAGCTCTTTCTAATGAGTTCAGTAAAAAGTGTCAAATTACTCTTCTCCTCTGTAGCAGAAGCTAATCTTCAGTAAATATGGATTTACCGGTATCTTTTTGTTAAATCTCTGCTTATAACCGATTCCAGTGCTTTCCCAGCAAGTGTACCAATCTTTATATATTAAATTGTTTTTGATGGGGAAAAAAGATGTTTTAGTGAATTTGAAACTGTTGATAATATGTTTAACTTAATAGACTTTTAAAAAATGTTTCTTTTCTCCAGATTTGATGTTGAATTTGTTCTCTCAGCGCCTATTTCTGAATGGAATGGCAAACAGGGACACGTTTCACCAGCGCTTCTTTCTGAATTTTTGAAAAGAAGTTCAGACAAATCCAAAGTCCTCATCTGCATTTGTGGACCAACGCCATTTACAGAACAAGGAATAAAGTGAGTAGCAATGTGGTAGGGAAAAGAATACCCAACACCGCGGAGGGAAGATCTCTATAAAAAGCAGTTGATTCAGCTCCCAGTTCTTCCAGTTCATATGAACCGGCACGTAATACGCTGTTGCAGCCTAAGAATCTTCATGCAGGTGAAGGGTTGGAGGCCAAGAGTTAGAGTTAGAGAAGAACAGCAGTATAGGACAGGGGCTGGCCCCATGGCCAAGTGGTTAAGTTCGCGCGCTCTGCTTCGGCGGCCCAGGGTTCAGATCCTGGGTGCAGACATGACACCACTCATTAGGCCATGTTATGGTGGCGTCCCACATGCCACAACTAGAAGGACCTACAACTAAAATATACAACTATGTACTGGGGGGATTTGGGGAGAAAAAGCAGGAAAAAAAAAACAGATTGGCAACAGTTGTTAGCTCAGGTGCCAATCTTTAAAAAAAAAAAAAAGTACAGGACAGCCAGCTCTTGATGATCTCTGCTAATGGACACAGGCACAAGCTTGGTGCCAAATCTTATTTGGGACATTAGATTCAACCTCTTCTTCCACCAAAGCTTCATAATATATAGTAATTAATACCAATGGTCATCTCATTGTCACTTTTGATTCTTCATTCTCTGCAACCGAGTGAGAGTGAGGAAATGATACAGTGATTGAGAGCCAGACAGCAAGACAAAAAGGAGAGACAGGAACATAAGTAAGCCAAGACTAAGAGTTGAACTCTGGATAATGAAAAGTCAATAGTAGTGGCCATCTTACTCGAAATTCACCGTGATCTGATTTAGTACTAAAATGACCCTTTATAATATTTGGTTAAATATAGCCACTCTTGGGTTTCTAGATCACTTTAAAATATAACTGCCTTAAATGCCCTGTTTTTCCTTGTTTGGTGTATGACTGAACGTAACATATTCTAGACAATTTTCTCTTGCTGTTTTATTTTAAATTTTAATTGTGAGAAAGATTGACCTCAGTAAATAAACAAAGACATTAAAAAGTGTTTCTCTCCATGTTGTATTTAAAATGTATTTTAATTGCATTTGTGTTTTTCTGGGTTTTAAAACTTTCAGAAAAATGTTTTTCTGTTTAACCTCTCTCAACTTATAAAAAAATTTTAAATTACTATTTAAATTTTTACTCTTTAAAGCTCAAACAAAACTATTAAAATTATAGTGAAGACTAACAATATGGTTTAATATAAAATAATTTTTCATGACAAAAAGCTGAGAGCGACACTGTCTTCTACTTTATTGATCCTGCTATTTTAGAAGTGTCTTAAGGCTTACTTTATAGATTGCAGTATAAAAATAGTTTTAAATGATTGGAACCATAAAGTCTTCAGCATTGAAAGAGACTGTCTTTAAGGCTAGCTAATCCACTATCTACTGACTGATGAGGGAACCCTTCTACAGCCTCCTGACGGAAGTGGGTCATTTCCTCCTATCAATAATGGCCATCTTGAGGGCTCTTCGTTCTGGTTCCATCTGAGGCCCAGCCCACTTCCTTGCAAACTGGCGCCTCAGTATATGTCTAATTGAGTAGAAGGTAACCAAGATCCTAGTATTTTTGCATTTTTAAAAATTGAGTGTAATCTCTACAGCTTTGTTTTCTCAGCTTCACCTCAGAGCTGATCCCTCTGTGCTTTGCTAGCTGGCTTGCCCAGAATGACCCAGGAGTAGTCATCATGTATGGATCCCCGTGTTGCTCGCCCTTAAACGTGCTGCATAGAGTTGCCCTGTGAGATGAAGCTTGATTCAAATCAGTACTTGTAATTCATAGTGTCTGTGCTTGTGGGTTTCAATTCAGGACTCACTTCTCTGATTTCCTTGTCTTCACCATCTTAACGGATGTGGTATATCTCCTACTTGGCAGGTGTGGGAGTCTCTAATAGTTTTTGCTGTCCTGAAAAATGACTCTTTCTTTGGAGTGGCCACTCCTAGCACCCTCCAAAGTTAATCTCATGACTGCTACATAAGCATGACCGTTCCAAACATACTCGTCATATTTAGTGAAAATTTGTCAAATTTGTATGATGTGATAACAGAGAAAGACTAAGAAGCCTATTTGTTTTTTAATATAGATAAAGAGCTTATAATTACTTGGCCAGTAAAGGTCCTTTCATCCATTAAATACCCACTTTGTTTATTACATATGAATAAAACGGTCCTTGCTTTCAAGGCCCACACTGTCTAGTGGTGGAAACAAATGCACATACTGGTAACTCTAATATAACTCAGAATATCATAAATAGATTTACTAGAGATAAAAACAAGGTGTTTAGAAGAAAATGTAGGCAATATACTCTTTGACATCAGTATTAAAAGGATCTTTTTGGGCACCATGTCTTCTCAGACAAGGGAAACAATAGAAAGAATAAACAAATGGGACTTCATCAGACTAAAGAGCTTCTTCAAGGCAAAGGAAAACAGGATTGAAACAAACAACCCACTAACTGGGAAAAAATATTTGCAAGTCATACATCTGACAAAGGGTTAATATCTATACTACATAAAGAACTCACACAACTCAACAACAAAAAATCAAACAACCTGATCAAAAAATGGACAGGAAACATGAACAGATATTTCTCCAAAGAAGATATCTGGATGGCCAATAGGTACATGAAAAGATGCTCATCATCGCTGATCATCAGGGAAATGCAAATCAAAACTACACTAAGATATCACCTTACAGCCATTAGAATGACAAAAATAACCAAAACAAGTAGTAACAAATGTTGGTGAGATTGTGGAGAAAAAGGAACCCTCATACGCTGTTGGTGGGAATGCAAACTGGTGCAGCCACTATGGAAAACAGTATGGAGATTCCTCAAAAAATTAAAAATAGAACTACCATACGATCCAGCTATCCCACTACTAGGTATCTATCCAGAGAGCTTGAAATCAGCAATTCCAAAAGTCCCATGCACCCCAATGTTCATTGCAGCATTATTTACAATAGCCAAGATGTGGAAGCAACCTAAGTGCCCATCAACAGATGATTGGATAAAGAAGATGTGGTATATATATATATATATATATATATATATATATATATATATACACAATGGAATACTACTCAGCCATAAAAAAGGATAAAATCATCCCATTCACAACAACGTGGATGGACCTTGAGGGAATTATGTTAAGTGAAATAAGCCAGATAGAGAAGGACAATCTCTGTATGACTCCACTCATGTGAGGAATTAAAAAATACAGACAAAGAGAACAGATTAGTGGTTACCGGGGGAAAGGTGGGGTGGGGGCGTGGGCACAAAGGGTGAAGGGGTGCACCTACAACACGACTAACAAACAGTAATGTACAACTGAAATTTCATAAGATTGTAACCTATCATTAACTCAATAAAAAAATTTAAAAAAAAACAAGGTGTTATGGAAATTCAGGGAGAGACAAGTTCCTTTTACTGGGGGGTGTGTACTGGGGAGAGGGGAGCTACATGGTCAGAAGGACTGTGTGCTTTGAATGATGACTAAGACATGCCAGTCAGAGGAGGTAGTACAGGCAGGGAGAGAAGGAGCAGGCACAGTAAGGGTGCAGGATTCAGAAGACTAGACTCGTGTGGCTAGAGTGAAACCACTTGCCAGGGAGAGGCAGGCGGTATGGCTGGAGAGGTGGGATGGGTTCAGAGAGTGAGGGGCTTGACTGCTGCACCAAGTTGGCCTTCCTAACTCCTGTGCCATACCGTCCCTTTGTCTGAATATGTGTGTGCGCTCTAGAAGCTGCCAATTTGGGTTTGAGTCCCAGCTCTACCACTTATAGTCATTATACAATCATTAGCTGGGTGTCTGGGGTCAGTTACTTAACCTCTCTCAGCTTTAGTGCAGTCCCCTGTAAAAGGGAATAAATACTAATGCCTGTGCAGGTGAGGTGCTCAGCACAGTGACTACATACAGTAAGTACTAAATAAGTGTTTATTATTTTCAGCAGCATTTTAAACAGAGCTACTTCTAAGATTTTAGCCTCCATTTATACTGTTTTCCAAGTTGAATTATACTTAAGCAATATTCGTGCTTTTCCTGTTCAGTGGGGGAGAATGAAGACAGGATTCCAGGGGATCAACTGCTTACCTTGAAAACTGGTGAGGAAAGGGGAAAAAATCTAGCGTTTACTCTGACTTTTCTGTCCAAGACATGCTAGTAGGTAACCGCATAATAAATGAGCAGATTTTTTCTTCATAGAATGCCTCCACTGATAAACGAAGAAAGAATAATAGAAGTGAATATCACCAGCTTCAGTCCCTAATTGGCTAGAGCATGTGGATGGAGACCGTGAACGGTTATTAGCATCCAGAAAGGGCGGCACCCAGGTGTTGTGTGCCCCCTGATGGAGGAACACTGCCTGTGAAGTAGTCTCGTCACAGAGTTGAACCTGTATCTGATGAGCCTCTAGATCCAATTATTAAATTGTGGGAAATAAGAGGATATTGGAGCAGATTATTAAAGTATACCACAGGGATGCAGCAAAATGATTATGGAGACTCGACACATAAAATTCTGATTTTGTCCACAAATAAAATGCAGGACAAAGAGAGAAAGAGGGATGGGATCTTGTAGATCTAAAGATCCCTAAAGGACGTATCAGCCAATCACAATGAGTAGACTTTGATTAAATCCTGATTCAAACAGACGTTTAAAAATTATGGCATTTATGAGACAACTGAAAATTTGAACACTGACTAGGTATTTGATGATATTAAGGAATTATTGTTAATTTTTTAGAATTGTGGTTTTTTTTTTTTAGAAAGTACATTCTAAATGGGGAAATGAAAAAGGACTGTGGTTATGATGGTAAACTTTGATCTTGCTTCTTTCGTTTTAAACATTTTCCCTAAGAAACATGTTTTGTACGTGTTTTTCAGATTTCTGCATGAGCTGAACTTTTCCAAAGATGAGATCCATAGCTTTACAGCGTAACGAAGAGCTGTCATTGTCCTTTACTCAACTGTTTTATCTAAATTTGTGAATACTTAGAGTTTTTTAAGAGAACATTTTTGTATATACCGAAAGGTTAACTAGAAGCCAGGCTTCAGTTTCTTAAATGAAATCAAGCGTCCCTGCGGTATAGGTAACTGTTGACTTTATTTTATACCATAACTTATTTTACTACTGATATTTGACCTAGAAAGTCAATCATGGCAGCAAGTACATACAGGATTCTGTGTTATGAGTCACAAAGTTCCTTACCATTTAAAGTGTATCACTGTTCTACAGTAAGCTCCTGTGTTTTATGACGTGAGAAAGGATCATTTTGATCACATTTCTATGCTATAAAATGTCTTATTAGCAATACAGATTAAATTTTACATTGTACTGTTAACTCAGGAAATGGTCATTTATGTACTTGTTATTACTATTAAAACATGGAATGTTATAACTTATTAAGTGATCCAGACATTTTGTGTGTATGTATCTGGCATTGATACAGAGAAGAATAAAAGTATACTTAAGAACTTTTTAATCCTTGTGTTGAAATGTGTTTGAATGCAACAATATTGGGTCGGTGTCCTGGGGAATTTAAAAAGGCAACAATGAAAGATTCTAGAAACACTTTACACAAGCAGCTTTGGATTAAACGTGTTAGTTTCAGAGAACCTTGACGGCTGTTTGGATTCTTAGCCCAAACCAGAGGCATCAGGAAAGATAATGAAGTGTAGCATCTGGTCTCATGGCCTAAAATAATCACTTGGTGCTTTGGAATGGGTTAGATTTTACTTCTTTTTGAGCCCATACTAGATGAGCTGGGACGATGAGGATCGCTCTGTCCTAAAGGGTACCTTCCACGCTGGCTGCTTTCCCCACAGTGGGCAGTTCAGCAGGGAGCCCTCCTGAGCTCTAGACTCTGGGCAGCTTTCTGCTCTCTCTCCCTGCTGCTGGGTGCAACCGTCACATACTTTCACAGATTGGGGTTCAGCCAAAGGTAGCAAGAAGTCATTGTGAGGAAACTGTTGATTGCATAGGTGGCGACTGCATAAGCTAACAGCTTTTTCGGTTTTATTCAAGATAGCAGCAGTGTTTTCACAGAAATGGGGGGGTGGGAGGAGTCTCTAATTTCCCTGTAAATGATTTCGTAAATAGCTAATCTTCACTGAATGAATGATATACTAAAGAGGAACACAGTATTAACCTTCCTCAAACAACAAACACGAGCTTATGAAGCTCCCTATGTGCAAGTGGCCGGTTGAACACTGCCGTCTCCCCCTGTGCTCCTCCTCAGTAGCCAACTCCACCCACATCCTCCTTCACCCTGGCAGGAACTAGCTGTCCTGGGCTGGCAGCGCTCCCTGGTGGCTAACAGGAACTTTCTCTAGCTTCTGCCTCCATGTGGACCACCTCCCTTTTCTCCTCTAAGATCAATCGTGAACTTTCTGGGCACACCTTTTTTTGTAGTTTATTAGTAATATATCAATTAGTTCTGCCTTAGCCAACAGCTTTCTCGTCTTTTGTATCCTTCTCTCTCCACCAATCCTTTCAAATTACCTCGAGCAAACAAAATCTCTTCTCTGTTTCTCTCTATATGTATCTTTCCCTCATTTCTCTTCTTACTGTGTTTTATTAAAGCAAAAGAAAACCCATAAACATCGTCTGAACCAATACGTTAATAATTCCAAATTCGAGTCTCTACTTGAGAATCAGCTGAGCTTCAGTTTTCAATATCCAGTTACTGCCTGGATCCCACCTGGATGTTCCACAAGCCCCTCAAACTCACCATGTCCCAAACTCTGCTTTCACCATGATCATCTCTCCCCAGGTCTATTCCTCCTCTTGAATTCTCTGATTCACCGGTACTACCTTCCACCTAGCCAGCCCTTCTAGGACCATTCGGTATCGATGTCTCCCTCTCTAATCTGACTTCTCCATACTAGCTAGCCCTGCATCTGCGGTCCCTCAACTGGATTAGTACATTAGCCTGATAATTGTTCTTCCTGTTGCCTCCTTGATCTCACTGAAATCCATTCTGCATTCCACTGTGTTCCAGAAGGGCTTGGAGAGGAAATCCCCTAAACAGAGCTTCAGTCTCCCATTGAATACAGCTGCATACTGAGAAGCAGAGATGGGAGTATAGATTGTAACTTATTCTTGAGCAAAGAACTCAACTACAGCACGCATTTGCAATGAGGAAAGAGAATTATACTCAAAGTCACTTTTGCTTGAGAATTCTGCTTGCTTGCTTCTTTTTTAAAAATGTGTTTATGTGTTAGTTTTCTATTGCTGCCAGAACAAATTACCACAAACGTAGTGACTTAAAATAACACCTGTTCGTTATTTCACAGTTCCATGGCTCAGAAGTCTGGACACAACAGGGCTCAGCTGGGTCCTCTGCTGAACTCTTGCAAAAGCGGAACTCAGGTTGTCTGCTGGGCTGGGCTCTTCTCTGGAGACTCTGGGGAAGACTCTGCTTCCCAGCTCATTTAGGTTGTTAGCAGAATTCACTTCCTTGTGGATGGAGGACTGAGGTCCCCATTTCCTTGCTAGCTGTCAGTTGGGGGCCAGTCTTTGCTTGTAAAAAACCACCCATGTTCCTTCTCATGCTATGTAGGTGGCCCCTGCAGCCTTGGTAGATCCAGTCCCTCTCATGCTTCAAATTTCTCTGAATTTACTTCTGCTACATCCTTCTTGCTCTAGCTAGAGAAAGTTCCCTGCTTTTAAGGGCTCACATGATTAGTTCGGGCCCACCCAGATAATCAAAGATAATCTCCTCATCTTAATCTGTACCTTTATAGCTGCAAAGTCTCTTTTGCTATTTAATATAACATAGTCAAAGTTTGCAGGCATTAGGGGGTTGAGATCTTTGGGGGGGCCATTCTGCCTACCACAGTCTATAAGGAGAACAGAGAGAAACTTGTCCAAGGTAGGATAATTGTCTTTTGTCTAGGTTGTGTTACATGTCCTCAATTTTTACCTTAACATGCTAGAACAGGAGCGCAGCGAGAGGAGCTTTCACTCTCCAGCTTACTCGACTTTATTATGCTGGCAGGGCTCGGTTACAGCGTCCTCTCTGGTCCACCTTCTCTACCACATACACTTGTCCTGAAATAGGTTGGGGCTGCATCTGTTGAGAGCTACAGACCCCCTCCCCCTTGGACAGATGAACCAGACTCTGTTTGGTCTACAATATTTAGAATTGTAGCTAATAAATTAAAAAGGAAAAGTGAAACCTCAACCAGTCCCAGTCTCTTGTTATCCGTCCGCTTTGGTTTTGTTGTGAATTATCTTCACCCAGGGTTGCCTCGGCACAGAATGCCAGAGTGATCTATCTAAAATGCAAAAAGGTGTTTTCCTTCCTGGTTAAAGTTCCCTTCTGCCACCCAGTCCCCATCCTGGAGTGGAAGCTTTACCTTGGGTGCAACACAGTAAGATGACGAGGCAATGTTTCCATCCCAGGAGAAGCAGGCTGAGAGGACCTTACGCTGCTGCCCCCATCCGTCCACGAAGCACGCAGCTCTTAGAACTGGGGACCACTCAGAAAGAAGCTTGTTATTGTCCCCATGCCCAGGACATTCATGTCCAAGTCTTTTTGTGGACGTATTTTTTTTCATTTCTCTTGGATGAATAACTAAAAGTGCTGGGTCATATGGTAACTATATTTAAATTTTTTTAATCCTATTTTATTCTGTACATATTTCTAGGCCTAATGTAGAGACATGTACTAATTAGATAATCATGCTTTTGAATGTAGTGTTTCAAACTTTCAAGAAAATGCCAGATTTTTCCCTCCAACTTGGACCATTTTACATTCCTATCAGTGTTGTATGAGAACCTCAGTTATGCCACATACTCACCAACTTTGAATTATTCGTCTTTTCAATTTGAATGTGTAGTGGTATCTTCTTGTGGTTTTAATCTGCACTTGTCCCACGTCTATTGGTGTTGAACACATTATCACGTGCTTCTTGGTCATTGGCGTATTGTCTTCTGTAGGGTGTCTCTTTAAATCTTTTGCCCATGTTTAAATTATACTGTTTTTCTTCTTGTTACTGAGTTGTATATTCTTTATATATTCTATATATAAGTCCTTTATCAAATAAGTTTTGTGTGTATTTTTCTTTTATTGTAGAAGAGCTAATCATATGTTTGCTTTCACAGGTATTAGTGCTTAGGACAAGAATAAGCTTAGAGATGTAAATCAATTTAGATTTTACCAAAATAAATAGCACAGGAGGCACCTGTGAAGCTGATATGTGGTTGACTGAAATCCCAGGCAGAGTCGTCTAGTGTCAGAGTGCGGAGAACATTCTGGAGGGGACAGGCCTGAGAGGCTAATGACAAGCTGGGCCGTGATGAGACACCTTCAATTCTGGTTCAATGGAAAACGTTAAATAATGAAAGTCAGGCAAGTAAAAACCACACACAGTCTGCAGCAGCTCAGCTGTGTGAGGAGGAAGAAACCATTTACATGTTGTAATACATTTTGTCCATTGCTTTGTAGCAACTGGGCCCTTGGAGATAAATCTGAAAATGAGCTGGCGGCTTTCTCAAATTCAAAGAGCTTCTGTTCTGACTTCGGATTTTCTAATTAGCCGTCTCAGCGGCCGGTGACGAGCGCGGGGAGGGGTGTCGTGGCGGTAGCGTCTGCTGAGTGTCTGCGCGACATTACAGTTCTATTTCCTCTCAGAACATGCTGAGGACAGCGGTTATTTCTGCACTTGCTCTTTAAACATGTCAAAGGGAAAAGGCTGCCAAAATTTTTAGTAAAATACGTTCAGCTGTTTGTCGTGCTAAGAATTTCCCACTTTTTGAGCAAGTTAATATTTATACGAGAATCATCACCAGGCAATTCTCAGAATAGCCGCATTCTTGTGCCGTTTAGAAAAAAAATCACAGAAATCATTGCACAGCATCTAGAGTCTCATCATCACCTCTCTCTATGAAGTGTGGGGGTTTTCAACACGTATATTCATCATATTTTAACATGTTGAATTTGCTATTCTAAACCTTCAGCGAGGCGGGAATTCTGCAGAATAAACCAGGAGAAGCGGCGCTCTCCCTCCCCAGGCAGGAAGGGGCACGGGAAGCCTCAGACGGGCGGTCCTCACTCCCGGGGCTCGGGAAGAACACAACACCGCGTGAGAAGGGACATCAGGACGGCATCTGCTGGGCCGGCGACCGGGCTGGGCTCGCCCCAGGGCGCGGGGTCCGGGGAGGAGCCCGAGCTTGCGGCCCGCGGCGCGTGTCCCCGAGGCGCAGGACGCGTGCTCGGCGAGCTGCTTCCACCCCCAGCGGCTCTCCTCGTTCTCTTGGTCCTTAAATCTTAAATAATAATTGCTCATATTTATACAGGGCTTTTCAATTGCCAAAGCACCTTCCAGCAGCCCTGCAGGGGTTGCCGGTAAGCGTTTAACCACCGGCTCTCGCACAAAAAGAGCCCTGATTTGTGGAATTGGCCAGTTTCTGTGGCGCAAACGCGCCCACTGCTGCCGGGCTCAGTGTGAGGTGACCGGACGTGGACTTGGGAAGAGG